AAGATTTTGAGCCAAAAGAGTGGTTCGAGCTCGACTTGTTAGACTCAAATTCAAGCTTCAACTCGGCTCGTAAGGCTTGAACTCGAGCTCGAGTTCGAGTTCGGATTGAATATACATATTTTTTATACTCACTTCATCTCAATTGAAAGTACCAGTTTTACTATTTTTGTCTTTCCCACTCAAAAGTATCAATTTCCTATTTTAGTAAAAATAATCATACACTAATATCAAAATATCTTTAACTTCTACTTAAATTACAAACATACTACTCCCTCCGTCCCACATAAAGTGTCCATTTTTTTTATTTCCGTCTGTTCCACATAATTTGTCATTTGTTTTTTTCAAAATATAATTATATACTTTAATCACATTTTAAATTTCACAGTTTATAATGTTTTTATTTTAATTAAAATATTTAGTTATCTTAATCTTAATCTATAACTATTTTAGTTATACAAGAATTATTTTTACTAATTATACTTTACTTAAATTCTCGTGTCTACGGTAACCTGGACACTTTTTCTAGGACGGATGGAGTATTATATATACAATTACTTTATACATAAAGTCAAAGGGTAAAAATATCAAAACCTCTTACACACTTCGACTAACTAATAAAATACTTTTATTTTTTTAATCTACTACAAAATCCCAAAATTGTACATTAAAAAGGGACGAAAAGAGTATATAAATTATACTACCTCCGTCCGGCTCTAAGAGTCTCATTTACTTTTTGTGTATTGATTTTTTAATATTAATTATTATATCAAAATGTAGTACAAATCAAGAAAAAAAATTGCAAATATAATGATATTTTTTAATGTTAAGTACAATAACGCAAAAGGTAAATGCGACTCTTAGAGACGGAATAAGAGAGTATATATTTAATTTTATTCATAATTTATTATAACAATATATTCAAATTTTTATTAATAAATATTATTTTATATAAAAATTATATATTATATTAATATAAATAATATAAATATATTATTAATACGAACTTAATTGAGCTATTAACGAGTCTGGTCGAACTTGGCTCGCAAGCTATTCAGTTCATTTAACAGCTTTAACCACAACACATTGATCTTCATTTAATTCATCAATGTCTATTATATTCTCGTATAAAAATTAATCAATCAAATCATCTTCGAGATCCTCAATTGTCATCAAAATAGCAACATAACAGACCTTCACTGTTAGGCAACAATAGTCGACCATGAAACGACTTATTAGTATATTAATAGATCACTTCGAAACAACGCAAACATCACATATCTTGGATCAAATAAAGACTATGTGTTTTCAAGAAGCTACTCCTGCATCCATTTCATTGGATTTTCAAAATCCGATTCTTCTCCTCTTATATCCTCATGGTGTAACTTAAATTTTTTCCTTATTGCATTCTATCATTTGCATCACTTATTTTTACAAATAAAATATTTTTTCACCTACAAAAATAGCATAATATAACAAACAAAATCAAATAATAATATAATTTTTACAATTTATAAAAATAATGCATATACATATCATCTCAAAAGAAATAAAATAGTTATACAAATAAAATAAAAAATTCAAACAAAAGATGTAAAATAAAAATATTGTATTTCTCTTGTATTATAACACACAACCAAAAGGAAGCCAAAAAGTTATAAAATATAACAAACATACTGTGATATAGAATAGAATATATATTTAACACTTTCTTAATTTGCAATGTGGAAAAAAACAAAACTTACAACCTTAGTCGTGAAGAAGGATTGTAGAAGAAAAACAAGAAGAAATGTAAGAGTGAAAAAAAAAAAACACGTTAAATTGGGGAATGAGAGGTCTTTTGTAAAAACACAGAAGAACACACTGTGTAATGTAACACACGATCGTGTTTGAACACAACGGTACCAAATTCAATTGGACTAATACATGGGTATGTAAATGTAAGACACGGCCGTATTTTTTTTTTTTTTTTTTTTGATCGGAAAGACACGGCCATATTTTTATTTTTATTTTTTTTATCGGAAAGACACGGCCGTATTTGATTGCATGAAAGCTGAAGTCAAGTTTCGGTGTACACGGCCATGTTTACGGATACACACAGCTGTTTACATACACCATTTCGGTATGTTGAGATACTTTAGATATTCAATTTTAGATTTAGTAGATTTATATCTAGATTTGATCTTTTTCATAGATTAGATTACTTAGATTTGAGTCTATCTAGTCTGTTTTGTATTGCCTATATATAGGCTCTTTATTTTGATAATCAATAGCACAATTTCATTGTTTTTCCCCAAAATTTCTAACATGGTATCAGAGCCTATTTTTCTCATGCCGTAGATATAACCTACCAACCCGCGTTTCTCCGGGTACATTCAACATGGGATGTACCCAGAGGTCTCCCAATTTTGAAATTTTTTTCTATAGTTTCTAGCCCTTTCTTTTTCTAATTTTGATTTTATCTTGAGTCTTGATTTTGTCTGCGATTGAAGTCATGTCTGTGCATCTGTCTGATTCAATGATCCATCATGTTTCTGATTGCAATAAGAGTCCCGTTATTTCCGATTTTGTGGAGAGTACTCCCGTCGTTTTCTACTCCAGTATAGCGTCATCTCGTTTTCGGCTCCGGTGGAATCATCTCGTTTCCGACTCCGGTGGAGTCATGTCATTTTAGGCTCCAATGGAATCATGTCGTTTTCGGCTCATTTTAAGCTCCGGTGGAGTCCTGTCGTTTTTTACTCCGGTGGAGTCATCTCGTTTTCGGCTCCGGTGGAATCATGTCATTTTCGGCTCCAGTGGAGTCATCTAATTTTCGGCTCCGGTGTAGTCCTATCGTTTTCGGCTCCGGTGGAGTCCTGTCGTTTTCGGCTCCGGTGGAGTCCTGTCGTTTTTTGCTCCGGTGGAGTCATCTCGTTTTTTGCTCCGGTGGAGAGTCATCTCGTTTTTACTCCGGTGGAGAGTCATCTCATTTTTTGCTCTGATGGGTGGAAAGTCGACTGCTAATTTTATTTATGTTTTCTTTTTGCGTTTATATTCAAATTTCTCGTCAAACTCAAGTTGGTTTCTGTTATACCACTTGAGTTTGAAGGGGGATGTTGAGATATTTTAGATATTTAGTTTTAGATTTAGTAGATTTATATCTAGATTTGATCTTTTTCATAGATTAGATTACTTAGATTTGAGTCTATCGAGTCTGTTTTGTATTGCCTATATATAGGCTCCTTATTTTGATGATCAATAACACAATCTCATTATTTTTCACAAAAATTTCTAACACGGTACATGTCCGTAAGAAAGTACACGATCTTGTACAATTGTACACGACCGTGTTATTTGACTGGGTTGTTGTTGACTGTGATACCACATGTATATTTCATTGTATAGGGTCGTGTTTAGTTCAAGTCATCTGTCACGTTGATTCTATTATATTTACGTCAACAATCTCTGTTATTTTATAACGGTGAGACTAAAATTGATTGAAATTATTTATAATTAAGCTAAAATTGATAATTTTTTAATATATATTAGGACTAAAATTGATAGATTTTACTTATATTGGGATTAAAATGATTTTTTTCTCTCATTTAAATATATATTACTATTATATATTTTTTAATATTATTATATTATAAATTAAATTCTTACAAAAAAATACTCATTCCGTCCACTTGAATGTATTCCTCTGTGATTTTGTAGTATATTGACAAATAATAATTTTTTAATAGTTAGTAAAAATGTGTAAAAAATTTTGATGTTTTTATCATTTTACTTTATCTATAAAGTAATTTATATGTAATCGTACATCTGTAATTTAAATAAAATTTAAAATATTTTGGTATTAGTATATTATTATTTTTAGTAAAATAAAAAAAAGAATACTTTAAAATATAACATAAAAATGTAATAAAAATAATAATTTGAATTGGAACAAATAAAATATAATAATAAAAATAATTTGAAATAAAAAAAAATGGATATAAATATGTGTAATAAAAGTAAATTGTCGTATTGTATGTTAATAAAAATATATCTATATAAAAATACTCTCTCCGTCCCAATACAATAGTCTTGTTTACCATTTTTGTCCGTCTCAAAACAATAGTCTTGTTTATATAAATAATCACATCACCATAAAACTACCCCTACGTTTTCATTTTTATTACACAATTGTCATTATTTTTTATATTAATACACTTACAAGGATAAAAGAGTCTTTTGTCCATATTTTTATCAACTGTCAATATAATATAATATTCCTTAAATCTCTTGTTCAATCCAACTAAGATTATATTTATGGGACAGAAGGAATAATATTTTATTTATTGCGTAAAGTTTTGCATTAAATTAAAACATAAATAAAACTCTTTCTTTAATCCAACAAATTTTGTATTTTATTTGTTGAGTGAGACGCAGCAGTGGGAAATTTAGGGGCACATAAGAACTCTTGAATAGAAATGGAAGAAGTACACAACTTGAATATATAAAAATTGTATGGATGCATTTAATCCAACAAGGTGGAGTGTTATGTAATGATTACATTACTCAATATATATATATATTATATGATAGTCTTGTATCTGAATATGGAGTAGAAAATTTATAATCACAGCACCACACTTTCATACCCTCTCGGCTCAATTCCCCAATGCCCTCTATTTTCATTAATTGCTTATACATATAATCTATATACATTTATATTTATATACATACATATATTAATATTCCTACACAAACATATACATAGCCGTATACCTATATATATATTTATATACTTACCAAATAATATTATATTATATTATATAACATAATAAAAGTAAATTGTTGTATGGTATGTTAATAAAAACATATATATATATATATAAAATAATATTTTATTTATTGCATAAAATTTTGTATTAAGTTTAAAACATAAATAAAACACTTTCTTTATCCAATTATATAATTTATTCTAATAATAATAACAATAATAATAGTAGTAGTAGGAATCTTCGATGAGTTCAACACGGTGCTTAACCTTAATGGGTAAGAAAAAGCCAAGAACATGAATCGAATCAAAATCGAAGCGGTCCTTCCTTGGACGGAATCACTCATTCACTCACAGATGAACAGCAACCTTTTCCCTGCAATCCTACTCGCACAAACATTAACGCTGCTGCTCTTGCTCCCAATAATCCCATCCATGGCCGCCCCCCCTTCATCTGGTTCCTCTTCATCTGAACCCAAAGTTCACATCATCTATACTGAACGTCCCGAAGGCGTGGAGCCGGAAGCCTACCATATCCGGACCCTCACCTCTGTTCTTGGCAGGTCGGTTGCTACTGCTTCTTTATTTCGTGCCAAAATGTTCTGATCTATCTACAGCGCATAAAGACATCTAGGTTTCACATATATGAAATTTCTCTGCTCGGTTTGAGATTGATTAGATGCTTTGATTATGAGTTTTGAATTTTGTTAGGAATTGCTTGAATTCTACGCGAGGATCAAAGTGGAGACCTTAGCTCTGTTGTTTAACATTTTTTGTTTCTTGTTTTTTTTGGGTGGTGAAAAAGCGAGGATGCTGCAAAGGAGGCTCTGTTGTACAGCTACAAGCATGCTGCAAGTGGATTTTCTGCTAAGCTGACTGCCGACCAGGTCTCTCAGATTTCGAGTAAGTTTTAATGTGATTGATTTACTAGTTTAGAATTGCTTGACCACCATCACAAGTGCTTTAGAATTGTGTATATCTGTTAAATGGAATCACTTCCTCTTTTGTGAAAACTCTCCATGAATCTGGGAATGGACAAATTTCCAATTTTCTGTATTTCTCATATCAAATTCAATTTCATTGGTAATAAATAATATTGCCCCAGGATTTGGGAAATCCATTTTTTGTGTTTTTGTTGATGAAATACGTGCTTACCAAGGTTCTCCTGATTTGTAGGTCTGTTTCTTGTAGTATTTATGATGTTTCTGAAATCATATCATACATCTAGTAGGAATGTAATATTATCTGAAATATATTCTGTTGTTTTGGGATCTGCCTGTGACTTGCACTGTTTTTTTTATGATGAGATTATTGTTTGGTCTAATGAATTGATTAGGTCCATTGCATCTCATGTCTGTGGTTCTCTTGTTTGTGATTGAGCAGAGCTACTTTTGCATATGAGATTTTTCGGTGTTCCATACTGATAGATGAATAATATATGCTATGCTGCAGAACAACCGGGTGTTCTTCAGGTTGTCCCGAGCCAAACTGTCCAGCTGCATTCTGGACAGGGGATGAAGCAAGTCTAAATGACCAGTGGAATGAATGCTGCTATGTGCTAATAAAATCATGTTCTTCATTTCGTGAGACGAGACTATATGCTGTTTAGTATAGTAGGCGTGAGATCGAAACATGTTTAAATAAAACAAAATAAGATGGGATTGAGTCGACTACAATGTATTGCACTGCTGAATATGTAATGAAGTTTGCTACTTTGTACTATGTCTGTAAATAGCCATCTCAATTGTCTCACTTGTTGTTGTGTTTCAGGATCAAAAAAGGGAACAAGCTAAAACATGGCAAAGGAATTGGATTGCATTCATACATTGTCTCAAGAATCATAAATAAAGTAGGATTGGAAAATATGTTACTACTATAATTAGATCATCTCAAAAGCAGTGAGTTAAGCCTCACCACAAACAAAAAACAGTTGCCTTTGCCACAAATTTCTTTCCCTCTTTCCCATTCTGATGCACATCCAACACAACACAGACAAAACTAAGATCCCGTTTTTCAAAAAGTCAGGATCAGATTGAAATTCAAGAAAACAAAAACAGGAGGATGAAGAGATCTCTGGGATCAGGCTCCAAGATCACACATAATGTTCTTCCTTACCAAACCCCAAGACTCAGGGATCACTACACTTTAGGCAAGAAACTAGGCCAAGGCCAGTTTGGGACAACATACCAATGCAAAGAGAAGGCCACAGGGATAGAATACGCGTGCAAATCCATCCCCAAGCGCAAGCTTCTGTGCAAGGAAGATTACGAGGACGTGTGGAGGGAGATTCAGATAATGCACCATTTGTCCGAGCATCCCACTGTGGTGAGGATCAAAGGGACTTACGAAGACAACCTTTTCGTGCATTTGGTCATGGAGTTATGCGCTGGAGGCGAGCTCTTCGACAGAATTATACAGAGGGGCCATTACACAGAGAGGAAGGCAGCCCAGCTCATGAAAACCATTGCCGGCGTTGTCGAAGCCTGCCATTCTTTAGGTGTCATGCATAGGGATTTCAAGCCGGAGAATTTCCTTTTCGATACCCCCGATGAGGACGCCAAGCTTAAGGCCACAGATTTTGGATTGTCTGTTTTCTACAAGCCTGGTATGTCTCATATTCCTATCGATCTTTCGGTCTTGAATTTGCATCTAGGATCCATTGCAATGTTTTTGCTTGATTTGGTTTGCTGATCCTATTGTGGGATTGGGAATGAGCAAGAACCTTTTTGGGCAGGGCAATATCTGTCTGAGGTTGTTGGAAGTCCATACTATGTTGCCCCTGAAGTATTGCATAAGCATTATGGTCCTGAAGCTGATGTATGGAGTGCAGGGGTTATTCTTTACATATTACTGTCAGGGGTGCCTCCCTTTTGGGCAGGTGAGTGAGTGAGTGAATCATCAAGTCAACTCATCCTTACAACAAAGAAAGAAACAAGAAAGAATTTCAGACAGTGAAATTTTGTAAGTTGTCTGAATCTGCAGAGACAGATAATGGGATATTCAAGCAGATATTGAATGGCAAGGTAGACTTGGTTTCAGAACCATGGCCTCAAATTTCAGACAGTGCAAAGGATTTGGTAAGGAAGATGCTCGAAAGGGATCCAAAAAAGCGAATATCTGCGCATCAAGTGTTATGTGAGTGTGTTATAATTATTGTTCATACGCACCTCGTCCATTCGTGTTAATTATCTGCCGGCTGGTGTTGATCGCCTGGTTAATAGGCCATCCTTGGATTGTGGATGACAATGTTGCACCGGACAAGCCTCTCGGATCCGCTGTTCTTTCACGGCTAAAGCAATTTTCTGCAATGAACAAGCTTAAGAAGATGGCTCTGCGTGTAAGTTAGTTCGAAGTAACATACTTGGATTGCAGTGCTGATTAGAGCATCATCATCATCATTGTTGTTGTCATCATCCTTGTACAGGTCATTGCTGAAAGACTGTCGGAAGAAGAAATCGGGGGATTAAGACAGTTGTTCAAAATGATAGATACAGACAACAGTGGAACCATAACATTTGAGGAGCTAGAAAAAGGCCTGAGAAAAGTGGGATCAGAAATGATGGAAGCAGACATCATGGCGCTTATGGCTGCGGTATTTCGAAAACAATAACAATAACAATCATAATATTCTTTAAGTGCATCCACAATGATCACAACTGAACTGAATAGCCTAACCTCACCAACAAGAAAATGGTGGGAATGACAGGATGATTTTCCTGCAGGCCGATGTGGACAACAGTGGAACTATAGACTACGGCGAATTCCTGGCTGCTACTTTACATCTGAATAAAATGGAGAGGGAGGAGAACTTACTGGCTGCCTTTGCTTTCTTCGACAAGGATGGCAGTGGCTACATCACCATAGATGAGCTCCAACAGGCCTGCAAAGATTTCGGGCTGGCAGATGCTCATCTTGAAGACATGATTAAAGAAATCGACACAGATAATGTAAGCAGGCAAATAAATAAATATGACTATATACATGTATGGAAAGGAATTACTTACACAGGCCAAGTCTTGGTGAGGCTAAAAACAACTGACTGCTACTGACAGGACGGGAGAATAGACTATGGAGAATTTGCTACAATGATGAGGAAGGGGAATCAAGGGCTGGGGGCCAGAACCATGAGAGGGAACTTGAATTTTAACTTAGCAGATGCCCTGGAAGGTAAGAAAGTAGCAGGGGAAGGGGAAACAGACAGCTAAACAATCCAAGCACCATTTTTCATATTCATATACACAGATTCTACAAGCTTTGCTACACTACTGCAATCATCTCTGCCTCAAGAACAACTAGAATTTGTCACTAGTCTCTCTCAATCATGCAACACCACATCAATTTGTAATTATTTATACATAATACTACATATTTATAAGATTTTTTGCTTTCTTAGATCCTAATATGCTCATACATTGTAACTCAATCAATGCTCAACAGCTCATGAGGATAATGGTTTACAGCCTACGAATGAATTGCATAAAATCCAAAATCAACGCAACTATTTCTTCGCGCAAGAATTCACATAATATCTGCTATGGAGAGAGAGAGAGAGAGAGAGAGATTGAGCATTATACAGATGTATTTGTTCCATGACAAGTTAGATTTCAGTGTCATATCCTCTTATGTAGATGGAGTTCAACCTGTGTACTCTTAACTGATTCCGATGGATATTTATAGTATTACGTAGCGCAATTTTGAATTTGGAATCAATACAAATTTAAATTCAAGATTTCTGTAAGGATATGAGTTAGATATATCAGGAGAACAATATAGAAGGGTATGACTAGCGCAATTGTATTGCTTATAAATCTACTCCAAGCAAACGAGCTGGGATGACTGACTCCCGTTCCATCCCTTCCTTGATCATGGCAGATAGGGCGCCACCGTCTCAGAAAAGATGGGAGAAGCTCTCTACTCATATACTCGCTTCCTCTTCAATAGGGTCGGAACTAATAAAAGAGACCCAATGAGGAAAAGTATGGAAAGTGTCTTGAGATCGTATAGATCTTTTACAGATCTCAGATCGCCAAGTGCAAGCCCAGCCTGCAGGATATAAAGAAAAGTTCAACAACCATGTTAGGTGCACAGGACAGGACAACAAAGGAAACAAAGAAATGGTCATATATGAAGCCGAGAACGTCTTACTCTAACAGTAATGTAAGAGGCTGGAACAAGACCAATAACAGTTGCCAGAAAAAATATATGAAATGGTATATCCACGATTGGCGATGCCAAATTGATAAACAGGTTTGGCAATGTTGGGGTCACCCTCAAAAAGAGCATGTAGTTGAGCAGCTTCTCCCTCCTCTTTGCCACCTGAAACCAGTAAAAACAAATCCCTTGAATGTATCAAATCAATTTTAGGAGAACTTGGATAAATATGTATACACACACAAAGGATTTTTAACTTTTTTTTTTTTAAAGGGAGGAAAGATACCTCTGCCTGGAAAAATCTTAGTTTTTCAGGCCACATCCAGTTAACAATTGGCCTGCCAATCAGTTTGGACAAAAAATAGCATGATGATGCACCTGCTGTGGCATTAAAGACAACCAAGAAAAGACCTCTGACCACACCAAAAAGTGCTCCTGCTAGCAAGGACATGAAAATTGTTCCAGGAATCATGAATGTCTGCATAAATATGTAAGTTGAGCAGTAGCCCAGAATGAACTTTGCAGGGTACAATGCAGCATATGTTGCAAAATGGTCCCTGGAGCATATTCAAAAGATCATAATCAGAAAAAAGAGGTTGCAGATACTTCTTTATTTCATTTAATTCCCCAACAAATATTTAGAAGGTAAGATTCCAAGCTCAGAACTAAGATTAGCATTCAAGAAAAAAGAACCTATAATTCGAAGAAGAAACTACCAATACATCAATTCAAAACCGATAACTTCCAACTCTCAAGGGGAACACTAGCAGAACAAAGTAATGTCAATGATTCCATACAACTTGGCACCATAAAACAAAACTCTGCAATAAGTATATACACTATCCATAAGCCAAAAATTCCCTATAATGCATCCATACAATTGAACAGGGCCACCGATCCTGTATTATCCATTACAAGCAATATCTATACAAAGAGAAGGATAATGCACAGAACTTTTCTAACTGCAGAATTCGTAAAAAAGGGCACATTGACTCATATAACCTTGAATATAATAAATTAGGTGAAGGGAACAATTCACCTATTATCATATTAGAGATGGACAAAATAAGACAGCTCATCATTGCTCTGAGTTAGAAGCTAATACCATTTCATCTTAGCCGCAGAGATACAAGCGTGGAACACAAGCTTATTTATCTTCAGATAACAATTGAGAGGAAAAACAGTAATCCCAAAACTAACCTTTGCAGGAAAATAAAAATCAACAATAACAAAGATGAACTTAGAATGTGCATACACAGACAAATCAAGCAATAAGCAATTCCCATCAAGAAACAATAATTCAACTTATGAATAGAACATCAAGAACTAAACATCATATAAATTGAAAGAATGCAGATACTTCAATTAAGAATTCGAGAAAACAGTAATTAAAGCAAAAGCTTGTAAGCAATGGAAGAAGTGCATACTTGAGCAGGCGCAGATCGGCGAGCGTGCGGGGGACTTTGAGCATCTCATACTCGGAGGCGGGCATGGTCAGGTAAATGCACAAAAGCCCCGTGGAGAATACCAAAAACACCGCCAGAGCCGCCGCGAATTCCCATCGCGAGAGAGGAAATCTCTCCGCTTTAGACTTCTTCCCGGAGGGAGAGTCGCCGCTCTTCTCCTCATCCCTATTAGAGTGCCAGCCACCGGGTTCCACCACCACGATCCGCGGCGCCGCCATAGTAGGGTTCGCAGCGTGAAAACAAGTAGGATTTCAAAGTTAATAATTACGATTGGAAGGAAGGAGGAGGCATTCAAATCGGTTCTCGGGTTTCGGTCATTGCACCTTCAGCCGCTGCCCCGCACTCGAAATTATGTATCTACCTTATCAGCATTGAAGATAAGGAAGGGGCCAAGAAGAGAAGAGATGAGATGGCAATGAATGTAACGCGAAAATCAAGAAAATTCCCGACACGCAAAAGAATTGAAATTTGCGAGGAGAGGAGGGAGAGAGATCCGGGGTCGGTGTTCTGCGAGATCTGAAATTCGAACTTTGAGCTGAGGAAATAAATAGAGGTATTGAATTGAATTGAATGAAATCAATGGGGATTTGAATGTATGATGGAATGAAATTGCCCAATTCCTCCTTCTAATATCCTCCTCCTCGCATATGTGAAGAGACCAAAATTAGGAATATGCGAAGAATATCAAAACCCTAGAGAGAGAGAGAGAGAGAGAGAGAGAGAGGGGGAGAGAAAAATTGCAAAGTTGTAGAGAGGGGGGGCGACGAGTTTAGACGAGGCTCTCATCTGGTTAGGTACGGTGCTTTTCTCATCTCGTCTCGACCCCAAAAGTCAACGGGGCGTAAAAGTCGCCGTTGCAGTAGTTGTCGTATTGGATATGGTAATGACACTATCTAATGTATGTTTTGTTTAAGGACGGCAACGGACGGGTTCCGAATGGGTTTTGCATATCCCGGATCCGTCCTAGTTACTAGAAAATATTAGTTCAGTATGATTCTAAAGTCTTATTTAAAGTATCTATTACTACATTATTTTTGCTTAGTTATTTTTTTTTATATTTCTCATCTACATCATATTTATCTCAATATTTAAATTATTTTTTTTATCACTTTCAACACATTAATATTACTAATTTATATGACACATACTAATTCCTTTTTAGTTTCAAGAAAATCACTTTTGGTTCTTTTCACTACCTTTTCTGTTTATTTTTGTTGAATTATGTCTTTAAGTTTACAAGAAGCTCCAACAACATTAAATAAAAATGAAATCTATTAAAAAAGCTTGCAATATAAATATTTTTTCTAGCCAATGAAACAATAAATAACTACAACTGATTTTTTTTTATAATCAAAGCTTTTAACTCATTAATTCTCCATTCATATGACTTGCCCCATCAAAGCCTCAAATCTCTATTAAACTCAAACCTCAATAAGAAAGCACATTATGGACACTATTTTTCAAACACAAAGCAGATGAGACATAAACAACGCAAATAAACCTCTATTTCACATTCCCACAAGAATCGACAAATCGAACAACAACAACCATTTATTCTTTCCCAGATATGTCCCTAGGTTCATCAACCATCAATGAGAAATAATAATCTTTCAACTCTTCAATTATTTTATGCACTATCTCTTCTGCAAAACATTAAACAATGTCCTTTTGGAAGTTAAGGAGAAATCACTTGGCAATTCTTTAGAATTTTTTAAAACAACATTACGAACAATTTCATTTTGGTCAATGGTATATTTAAGTATCTTCAAAAAATTTCTCGATTTTAAGAATTCATAATTTCATCATGATCATGAAAAGACAATCCTTAGTGCAACAAAAATTTACAAAAATCAATTGAAGCAAAAGTTAAATTCGATATTCATTTCTCACAATATATGATTGACTATGATGAGCAATGCAATAGATTGTTCTTATATCATTAAATCATTGCTCTTCTTCACTAATATATTATGAACACTATTAACAATACCAACATAGACATCTAACCTCTTTTTTTTTTTTTTTCCTTTTATTCCAAGTACAAAATCCGTCATTCACAAAAGTCCCTCCACCACTTTTACTATTAATTTGATTTCTAAACAAATAGCAACACAAACAAAAGAATTTATCTTCTTTGACACTATACTCTAAACAATTAGCATATTTATCAAACTAATCTGGATTGAAACAGTGCAATTTACCTCAGATAATTTTTTTAAGTAAGTTATGACATTGCGGTTGACAAAGACTCTTTAATAAATAAGCTTTTCTAATTGTATCAACTTGGTTGGGATTATATTCAAATATATTTTTTATTTATGTGGGATTTAAAGGGAGGCTATCACGTTAACAAAATCTTTAGCAGTTGAGTAATATGAATGGATTAAGAGGCAGGAGTGTCATCTATTAAATCAACACTAATTTTCTTCCGATATTTTTCAATTAAAATATTACTCCATCATTTAGACTAATTTTAAATTAAAAATATACATAAATAACAAAGTATATTTCAAATTAATTCAAAATTTATTAGAAAAACTAGCAAATAACAAGCCAAATAGAGAGTGATACAATCTAAAGTTTCAAATAAAGCAACCTCAAGCCAAAAAACCTCGATCAAATCGACACATAAATCATCTTGCGCTTGGCCTTTGCTCGTCGTTAGAATAGAAAATAATAGAGAAAAATAAAAGTGGAAATGATTAGGATGTGTTCTTTTTGTTTTATTTTTTTTATACATATTTTTCCCAAAAAAATAATATATTATATACCTTCATTATTTTTATATTACCTGCCTAATTCCCTATAGCTCACATAAAAATATCAATTTCACAAAACAAATACTCCCTTAGAGTTTGGATAGAGAAGAAAATAAATATATCATTTTGTTAATTAAGTTTTTTAAAAAATCAAAATGGCTTATGAAATTGTTGATAGAACTTGTTTTCTTATATTTTAAAATAAAATAAATAATATATAAATATTTAAGCGGTCCCAAATACTAATTTATTAAATTCTTATTTATCTAATTGGTTGATATAGATTTATATTTAAAATTTAATTTTTTATTTTATTGATAGTTTAGGTTTAGAAATTATATTTAATATATTAATAAATTTGGATAATTTATAAAAATTATTTTTCATAACTAAAATTTGTTAGAAAAAGCAGATAAATTAAAGTTTGTTATAATGATATTGAGATAAATTGGACTCTATTCCTATGTGAAGAATAAGTTCAAATTATAGAAAGTCTATATAATCAAATATTTATTTATTATTTATTTTATCACGATTGGAGAGATAAACCAAATAATCAAGCCAAAATCGTCCAAAAAAAAAAATCAGAATGACATTTCCGCCCAACATTGTGCATGCTCGTGATTCATTGTTTTTCAATCCAATGGTGGGATTTTAGATCAGGTTTCTGTAATTTGACCAAAAGTTTACAGAACGTGACAAATATTTTAAGTTTGCTTCTTAATCTTGGTTCTTCTTAAATTGGTGGTTTCCGTATGTTGATCAAGTGGTGATTGAAGCATGTTTATATGTGATTGGGCTTATTGCTTATGATCCTTTTCAAATTTCATGGAACATATTCGTTCCATGTATCACAACTTCATTGGTATATCGTAGATCCTTCTAAATTTTATCTTTAAATGAACTAAAGTTGAATGAGGATTTTTCAAATGAAGAAAAATCTTTTGGGATCATAAATACAAAAGTTTGGACCACGAGGAACATGGATATTCATATGGTACCGGTAGTGTAGTCCCAATATGGAGCAGAAGAAGCCATGTGGAAAGTAGAATAAAAGATGTTTAAATTATGCTCATAGGTTTTTAGTTAAGTAATGTTCTACGTTCGAATTTAGATTTTAGGAACAAAATCTTTTTAAGGGAGGTCAATTGTAATGTCTTGTATTTTGAAATATATAAGATAATAGGGTAAACTGTTTTTTTAGTCCCTGTAATTGGACTCCCTTATTATTTTAGTCCCGTAAGTGGAGTCTGTTGTAAACTAGTCTCATAAGTGAAAAAATTTCGTTGTTTTAGTCCTCCGGCGCCGGAGACGCCCGCGTGGCTCGCCGGAGGTGACGTGTCCGCCAGGTCAGCGACACCTGGCAGACACGTGGATTTTTTTTTTTAATTTTTTAAATTTTTTTTAAAACTTATTTTCATTTATTTTTAATTTTTTTATTTGGTCCAATTAAAAAAATTAAAAAAAATGAATTCACGTGTCTGCCAAGTGTTGCTGGCGGGACACTTGGCGGACATGTCACCTCCGGCGAGCCACGCGGGCGTCTCCAGCACCGGAGGACTAAAACAACGAAAATTTTTCACTTATGGTACTAGTTTGCGACAGGCTCCACTTACGGGATTAAAATGATAAGGGGTCCAGCTACGGGACTAAAAAACAGTTTACCCAATATAATATTATTATATCAAATAAATATTTTTATAATTTTAATAAAAACAAGACATTAATATTGTAAAATAAATTATATTTCTATTGAAATATCAGTTATAATTGAATGGATAAATAACGATATCGATATGTATAAAATTTAACACATATATAAATAATAATATATTATAATAATATATATTATAAGATAATGACGATGGTGGTGGTGATAATAATAATAATAATAATAATAATAATATACGTACATGACTAAACAAACACAACCAGAAAAATAGAGTTTAGCAATGGATTTTAATTCTGATTTTGGTATTGTGATTTTTTTTAAAATTATTACTATGAATAGAGTTTAATTAATTTTAAATATGAATTTGAATTCCAATGCATTAAACTAGAATTATTTTGAAAATTTATAATTGGTTAATTAGCTATTTGATTGGCATAATTATTGATCGGCATAACTATTTAGCTAATAGCCTAGCTCTAGCGTTATATTAAAATAATTTTGTATCGATCCAAGTTGAATAAAAAATAGTAGTGTGTTGCACATGTCTGCTTGTTCATATATTTAAACATTCTTATTTAATTATCGGATAATATAGATATTATGAGGTATACAGGTTATATAAGTAGGATATTGTATGTAAATTACTAACCGAAAAAACCTTATGTTTAGGAGTGTGTTATTTTTTTTTGTAAATATTCATAAAGCGGCTTGTCTGCACTAATAAGATATTTTTATAGTTAATTTTAGATGTAACATTATAGGTGGGGCTTGAAGTAGGAGGTGAAGAGCTTATGATATAGTATAATATTAGCATTTTTAGTATAAGCCAACTGAGAGTGTTATATCGTCCGCCCTCTTTAGACAGAATAAACCAAGAACAGTTGCGAGTGCACCCAACCTAAGGACATAAGACGTTTGGTGGACTTTCTTCTCAATGCAACAAGGCATAGGTAAAATAATGGTCATTACCTTGGAAAGAGGAATGTCAGAATAGTGCTAGCCCTAAACTAGAGAATGACGAACATAAGAAAAATTCAATGGGGCAATTGAAAAAACTCAGAATGTAGAGCCACACCCACAATTCCAAGAACCATAGGGGCCCGCCGACATAAAACTCCTGGGACAAAAATCCAATTATCTTAGATAGAAAATCGTCAATGCGATGGTACATAAAACCCAAGAAGTACGATGCTAAGTCAAACTCTTTGTCGCAAACTATGGCATTAACCACCGGTTTGGCCTATTTTACCAATCCTTTTGAAAAAAAGTTAGCAAAGTATTTATTAAAATAATAGCGAAAGAGGACATTATTTTCAAGAAATCTATTAAAAATATTTAAAGTATTTTAAAAAATTATTTATTAGTATACTATTTGAGAATTAAGATTAAAATTAATGTATATACTAAAAAACAATTGTTCATACCGGCAATTCTAACTTAAACTGCTGCCGGTTTGATAAAGTAATGAAAACTAGAAGAAAAACACAAAAAAGGTTATGTTATTGTTATTGTTTCTCTGGTTCTTGATGATTCCTCCCTATTATCTCTCAATTTTCTCAACTTTTACAATTCTATCCCACTTTTCATGTTAGTCTCCAACATCCTAAGTCTATTTTTGACTTAATTCACGATAGTTGACTCTTCCCCCTTGTGCTGTAAAATATTTCGGGTCTACTATTCTTCCTTAGGTTGCTGGTGCTTGGACTCAATGTGGACTTTGGTGGACAACAAATGCCCACTTACAAAAGTATTTGGGGCAAAAATTAAAATTTCCAACTCCAATATATATTTTTTTGTAAGATTTGGAAACAGATTCAAACAAACAAGCACATGTGCATCCTGATGACAATAATTCAAAACAAAGATTTTTCTAAAACTTATCCCACACTTTTTCTCATAATCTCCATTTTTCCTTTCTCCTTCTAATCCATTTCGATCCTCTCCGGTCCAAGAAATATCGAGGGATTCCTCCAAGATTTGCACTCTTTGAGCGAAGAGATGGCCGGTGCGGGTTTGCAGGTATCAAGGGATAAACCAATGCTTACATCTGGTTGGGCAAAAGTCGTATCTTTGAAGGGCCCCATTCAATTTTCTCATGGTGGTCGACGAAGGTTCGCCCATTTTATGATGAAGATATGTGTTGTTTTGGAAAGAGTCGACGACGTGTTCGAAAATGGTAAGTTCCATTTTGCCCAACCAGGCTTTACTTTGAAGAGCTTCCATCGCATACTTAATGTTCCTAAAGATACGACTAATTTTACATCACATGTAGAAATATTAGAACCCTCTTTTGACGTTTGGTGGAAAAAATAGGGTATTTATTATATGTTGTATTCGAGTACCGAGTTGTTTCTCCAAGATACTACTTTGGTGAAAGCCTTGCTAGAATTTTGGAATTTTGGAATTAATTCTTCGGTATTTCAAGTTCAAGGTTACACATATTTATCAGGAAGGCAATCGCAGACAGACTAGCTTGCCGATCATGCTTGTGACACGAATGCCTCCCAAACTCTCAAACCACACCAGATTATAGATCAAATCTGAGGTATTATAGGCATTAATAAACTTGAAATTCCAAGTTTCAGGTTCTAACAATTTAGACAAAGATGATAAGACGGCTTATTTTCCATATTATATTGATAATTTGGCTTATCATTAATTGGCATGAGGATCAACCAGAGGATATTGCAGATAGTTTTCAAATAAAGAATAATTGTTGGTTTGATAACATATTACCAAGAAAGTTTGTGAATTATTCCTCCAAAAAATATTTTTATTCTAGGCCTTGTATTTACTTAGTTCATGACATTGGGATAGGTCCTGGGTTCTGTTATGTTGATTCTTGGGGATTTTGGACAAATTTTATGTCTATTGAGAAGCTTTTAGGGGTGGTTGACATGGTTTGGAAATAGGGGACCAATTTTTGTGCTTGGGAGCCCATCTCTTTTGAGACTATACTTATTTTGGGCCTACTTTTAATTGATAGGCCTTTTTTGGTATGCATGATTAGGTTGTTATTGAATTTTAGTATGGAGTGACCCATATTTTATTTAGGTCAAGCTAGGTTGGGATGTAGGCAGTTGGGCCCTCTGTGACTGGCTTAAGCCTCTGTTTTCATAAATGTTGATTTTGTGTTTGGGCTTGAGTTTTAGATTTTTGAATTGGCCCACATTGTAAGTTCATGTGAGTTTTGGTCCTCGCTATAAATTCTTTAATGTTATAAAGGAATTTTAGGGTAAAAGAAAAGTTCAATTCGCTTCGACGGCTCGAATCCTTTAGGCAAGTTTAATCCCATCCAAGGTAGGTTTTGATGAGATGGTTCATTCATTGTCGTGATTTCATTTCTCTTTCTATCACTCTCTTTCGGTCTTTTTGTTCTCCGTGTTATTTCTTTCTGGTAATTTGTTTTGATGATACAATTAATAGACATCCCGTTGTCCAATGAGTCTTCCTATGTGTTTCTTTGAGCATTTAGTAGGATGTTATTGGTTAGATTAGCTTCTTTTTCATTTCATTAGAGTCTTCATCTTCTCGTTTTTTCATTCATGTTCTAGGTTATTTTTTACTAGGTCAATTTTAATTTTTAAGATCTTAGGTTCTGCATTTTAGGAATATCTAAAAGCTCCACTTTAAATATCTGGTTTTCCTTTTCAAACACCATTTTTTCATTTGTTCATCATAATCTTCACACAATCAATTTCAGGGACCAATATTCCTTTGTTGGTTCTTAATTGAATAGGTTTTTTTAAGGTGATTCTCACTCAAAAGTTTGGTAGAACTTTAGTTTTTACAAGGAAAAAAATCATTTCTTTTCGTAATTAATATAGTTGCTTCTGATTATATAAATGTTTGTCTATTAATTTTTGTCGACACCTTTTGTTTTAAAATTTTCAGATGGACAAATTGAGGTTGGGTCATGTTAGTGAAGATGAGGCCAAGGCGCTGCAAGATGAGGAGCCGAATGCGACGAAGATTGAAAGAATTCTGAGTATAAAAGCTATTATCAAGAATGGCAACAAAAAGGTTGCCTAGTTTATTTATTTTATAGCTTTTTTTTATATATATATTTTACAAGTTTTACTACTTGCTATAAAATAGTTGTCATGTTCTTAAGTAGCTTTTGTTAGATGACTTTTGTTATACCAAAAAATGTATATGAGAAAATATTGGATTTCAGTCCAAGTTGAAGTGGTGGACACACTAGGAAGAGGGATAAGCAAATTGTGCAAATGAGGAACCTAAATTCTTATTCAGAAGAGGAGGTAATAGGAGTGTTGGACTTGTAAAAATGAGAGAGGAAGATAAATAAATTAGCATGGCTCAAAAAATAAAGATGATGATGATGGCCAAGGAGAAGTGATAATTATCCCAAGATGAGATGGAAAACGATTGAGAGGGAGATAAAAAATGGCCATGGAGGTTACAAACGTTACATGTAATTAAGGAAGTAGATACTCATTGATAGAAATGGGTTACTTAGAGTTAAATATATAATGAAAGAACTAGATACTCACTCATGAAAATGGTTGCTTGGTCAATAGTTACTCAAAATATCAATAGAGAACATTTAAGGAGGGATAAATGAGAGATGAATGAGCGAGAACAACACACACAAGAACAACACATTGATCAAACACACTATAATTTTCTCTATTTTTATCCTATTTTGTTTTTCTTTGTGTTGTTCAATCCCGCCTTTTTTTTTCCTTACTTATTTATGCATGTTGTTATTGTTTCTAGCCTTCTAATTTAAGTTTAATACATTTTGTATGTTTGTTCCTTTTCGAATTTTTGTTTCATCCAATTTTATTTACTGATCCATTAGACACAAAACAATCTATTCCTAAGGACTTTTGGAGTATTTTAGGAACCCTTACATATATTTTTCACATGGCTTTCTTAGGCCATCCAAGAATAGAATATTTGAATTCCAGATACAACAACTTCAAAATTTTGTTTATAGCATTGTGTGAACGATTTCTATTTGGTATGATAGATTCTAGTTTTCATCGAATGTTGTATGGTTTGGTTTTGATTAAAAATTGTTTGGATTCAACAGTCTGACATGCAAATGGTCCAATTACTGAGGCAGCTTTATGAGATGAATATGACGAAGGAGAATCTAGAGGTTTGATGATACTTTTTACAGATGTATGATTCATCATTCCATGATATGTGCCATAATGTTTTTTTAAAAGAATTTGTTTATACTTTTAGGAGACAAAGATTGGATTAACTGTTGGTAGATTGCAATATCCCCATCAATCAATGGTAGTTCGGAAACTCTCTCAAGCAATTATCGAGTAAGGATTTTAATAATTACTTTAATTTGTTATTATGCCCCTTTCATTTAAAGTTTGATTTTGTGCTACCTAATCATTGCTTATAATAAGGTTTCATAGTTGATTACGTGTTGCGATTGTTTTACAATATTTACTCCATTTATGATCTTATTTTTCCATTAATATATGAACTTCAATGTTTTTTTTTTTTTTTTTTATCTCCTCATTATATATTTTTCACTTTTGAATTTGTATCTAATTTGAAGTCTATGCTTATAGAAATCAATTTGTTTCTTTCTTGGTTCATCAATTGCATTAGCACTAGATGAAATATATGAATAGCTTCTGATAACTTGAAATGTTATTTTTCTCGACTGCAGTGAATGGAAAATAATCGTTAAAAAATGGGTGATATCTCAACCTTCTAGGTTAGTATTCAAACATTGTGAGAGATGACTATATATATATATATATATGTCCATGTATATATTTACAACAAACTAACATGATTTATTACACAGGAGTACGAGGCAGAAGAAAGAGGTAAGTCTTTACTCCCCAATCATAATCAGTATAATTAGAACTTTACAAGTTAACACAAACAACACACAAACCATTACTTATACATCCTTTCGTTCGTAGAAATGTGCAGCCAAGAAGCATAGGAAAATGATTGTGCCTGAGAGTTCCTAAATCAAATAACCATCTGGATAGATAAAAAAGCAGGCAGCAGGCTCAACACCTCGCCATTTGTTTTTTTTTTTTTTTTTAATCTCTATTGGAAAATTAACAAGTCTTTTTTTTTAATCAACTAGACCTTTCGCTATATGTGGATGGTGGATGAAGCTCATAGTTTATCCATATATTGCATGTTCTAGGGGCAATGTTCATGTCTATTTTACATTTAAATTTTATTATTATTATAACAGATTTTGGTAGTCATTTATGTGTTATATTCATTGCACAATATTCACATCTTTTTCCATTAGAATATGAAATTGATGCTTCTAGAAACTAATATTCCAATGTTTTAAAGTAATTAATTCTATTTAGAGCTCGCAACCTTAAAGATTTTGGCGTTAATGGAAGTTGTGCATCAAAATCAATCTTCTTCAATTCCATTGAAAACAACAATGAAGCGTTATACTAGGTACCCACATAAAATATAGTTGCGGATCAATGACCAAAGTTGGTCGAGTAAGGTATTGTCATCCCATATTATATATCCATCCATTATGCCTTGTAATTATTGCGCTCCATTGACAGGGAATACTTTTAAGGATGAAAATCATATATTAAGTGAGGGCATCATTGAACTGTTTCTTTTCTTTTGTTTGGGTTTTCATCCAAGCTATTTTCAGATTATTTTGATCACGTTCACTAGAAAAAAGATTTGCATAAGGGGTATTTGACTTCATCGGAACATCCAAAAAAGTAAAACAAGAATCTGAGATAGAGGCTTCGTGAAAGTGCTTTTGAAGAGGGTCTTGCCATAATATTAAGTAAATATTTGATTAGTTTGGTTATGGTTTTTCTTATTTTTTGAATGGAGTTTATGGATTTATATTTTATCCATTAAATTCTTGAATTTTAATTTAGTGGATGGATTTAAGTTGGTACCCTAAACATAAGTCTCTTTGCATTGGTCAAATTAGGTAAACTTTACAATCAAATCATGGTGATAGTTCCACTGTCAAATGAGTATTACCTTTTCTTGTATCACAATATGTCAAGTTTCTTAAACTTAGTCTCCAATCATAATGAATAAACCTAATGTTTATTGCAAGTCAACTTAAATCATTTTTCTCAAGATAAATGAATGTATACATAACAATATGAGAAAATATCAAACTGAATAAGATTTTCATCAACTGACGAATATTCATAAATTAAATTGCATCAGGAACAAAGTTCCATTCACACTACATGATCCTTAAAATTTTTAAGTGGTATGCCTTCACTTAAGGATCACAAATTATCGATTGTGTTAATGTATTCAATGAACACTTTAGTCTCTTAAAAAAAAATCTTTTATGGTCGAGTACTTAATTTGATATATTATTTTTTACCATAATGCAACATATTTGTTGATATACAACTTATTGGCCTAGATATAGAATCAATCATTCTAATCATACACCACATGAGAAACAAATATAGTTGATTTGTACATGAGCATGTAGTTCTTTGTATCTTGAAAGTATAATATAACTTTATTTGTATTTCCTAGTGGTCAATATTTGCAATACTCTAATATTTTTTTAAAATCATTCATTTAAAGTTGACTTAAATCAAGTTTATCACCCTTCATAATGGGAGCTACACTTGGTGAATAGCTTCTCAAATTAAACTTTCAATAAAACATTGTTGACACATGCCTTGTGAGATAAATGAAATCTTTTCTTATATCTATTTCTTTGATCTTAATGCCAATGTACAAGAGAAATATTCTATACGTTTTATGTCAAAATTCTTTAAGAAATTTGTTTCACTTAATATGTCATATCCTTATTATTAGTTGCAAGCTCACTTTATCCATATATAATACGAAAAATAAATAATGCTCCCACTAACCTTCTGGTATCTATAATAATCTATGGTATTTCCTTTAAAACAAATGAGTAACCATATCATGAAATTTCAAGTACCATGAATCGGAGGCTTTTGTATGAGAATTTATTAGGATTACAAATTATGTAATCACTATTATTAGAGGTAGATCTTTCAAGTTATTTACTTCAGGTAAATCTTCTAAATCATCATTGAGGATAACCATTTTCACATTTATTTCATGCAACTCAAAATTAAGTTGATGTACCAATACCATAATTCTATAATAGAATTTTTTCTTAAATTACCAAAGAAATTATTTTGGTATAATCAATTTCTTTCCCTAAAATAATCCTTTGGCAATAAAAAGTCTTGAATTATATTTCTCAATGTTGCCTTCATAGTCTCCTTTATTTTTAAGGACTCATTTACATCCAATGTTTTTTACACCACCAAGCAACTTAGCAAGATTCTAGACCTTATTCCATCCTACAGGATCCATCTCATCTATTATAGTATTGAGCTATAAATTAGAATCCTTAGAATTTCATCTTACAAAAAATTTTCAGTATCACTTACAGCTTTTATATTATTGTCCAATCCATACAAATATAGTATGGATCTAATAGAAGCTTGTGAATCTTTATTGATTGATCTTTTACACCCATTTGAGCTAGAGGGGTGTCATTCACAATCAATTCATCACTTGACCTAGAGGTTCAACTTTATAGTGATCACTTTCAGAAATAGAATATTGAAATTGATCACTTCCACTAAGTCATATTTAAGGAACATGAGATTTCTCGATTCCACAAATCATGTGCTACATGATGGACAACGTAAATCTACACCCTTTAGATCTTTAATCCAAAATAAATTATTTCAGTAGTAACATGCATAGAGTTATAGGCAGTGTTTGCTTTGAAAATTTATTAAATAAAGAATATCACATTTTTTTTTAAAAAAAAATAGTAATATTATAGCCATAAACTAAAGTTAATTTAGGATATCACATTTGATATCGGAAATAATAATAGAATTATTAAGTGCAAATTCAAAAAATATACATTCTCATAAGTCGAATTTAAACTAATAAATTACATATTCTACCAATACAAACATGACAAAATGAATTAGTCTAGTGACATTCTACTTGTCTGTGGGCTACATTTTTACTCAATTAGACTCATCATGTACATTAAATCTAATAAAAAATATATGAATCTAGTGACACATTACCTACATGTGGGCTATAGTTTTGTTCAATTAAATTCATTATACAAAACTAAATGACATCAAAATTCATAAATCTAGTGACACATTACTTATATGTGGGCTAAGGTTCTGCTCAACTAGATTCCATTATGCAAAATGAAATAATGTCGTAATACATAAACTTAGTGACATAACATCTACCTGTGGGCTAAGATATTATCCAAGTACATTCAATAAATTGAAATTAAATGATATCATGTCCAAAACAAAATGATAAAACTATCGAATAGTATTCCATCTCTTAATTCCTATGAGTAGGTTAAAAAATATAATATGATATTCAATCATAATTAACCATACAAATAAAATAAAATTCTCGTGGATAGATCTCATCACATTACATATTATAAATTACAACTAATGTTCATAATGTGATTTCAAATTAATATACAAATAAACTCTAATTAATCAAACATGTTGTGGCTACTCCTTAATCAATACAAATTAAATATTCACCAAACATCATTAATATAATATAATATAAAAATAGTGTTATCAAATGATAAAAGTTGAACATGTAATATTTTAAAGATCCACGAATATGAATCAGACATTAATATATACAAAAGAATGAACATAACCACATGAATGGTTGAGACGAATTGGTAGGAGCAAAGTTCATATATATGTGTCTTGAATTATCTATGGTCACAATTGAGGGCTTCTTTGTATTCTCGTGTGGACTTAGACATAGGAATCCTCTATCTTATACTTTATTTATCATTGCTACTAAATTCATGTTTAGAAGCCTCGAGAAAATATTCCATGAAAATTCAACTATATTCTTTCATATGAAGGGCAGGCTACGTATTTCTTATTTAGATTATACTAATGATGCTATTATACTCACTAACACTTACGCATATGGAATATCAGCTATCATGCATTTCTTTGAGCTCTATGAAAGTATGACGGGGAAAAACATTTACAAGAATAAAATTCAATTGTTATTCTCTAAACATTGCCAAATTCAATCAAATTAGACCCCTAGTAGGGGTTCTTAGCCGGTGATCTTCCAATAACATACCTAGGTGCTGGCAGATTTTGTAACAATAAATGTGGGCCACACTCATTACAAACGTACATGTAAGATCTTTTTTAAAAAAATTTAATTTATTTAATTAAATCTAAATAAAATTTATGTTTTAATAATATTTCAAAATTAAATTTTATTTTATTTTATCCGTATCACTTTTTTATTTTTATTTTTTGTCTGCAAAACATATAAATATTTTATTTTTAATACTCCCTCTCATATCTATCTATCCGGTTACTTTTTGCACGAAGTTTTAGGAATATTAGTATTATATTGGATCGTAGTAGAAATAAAAGTAAAAAGACTAAACTAACCTTATTAGTATTGTATGATATAAATGTAATGACATTTGTGTATATTGTAAATTAGAATGATATTTATAATGTTAGATAGATAGTAAAGTTACTAAAAAGGAAATAGATATTTTGTTAAGGGATGAGCCAAAATAGAAAAATAAATATATTGTTAAGGGCCGGAGGGAGTAGAATACTTTTGGTTTGTTCATATTATATTTTTATGTGATATAATTTCTCATAACTATTATAGACAAAAAATTATGTCATTTGTAATAAACACAAAAATTTGTACAAATTATATTTAATTTGGATTTAAAGCGGATCTTATTCTCTAAATGGGTCATTTGATTCTCCTTTCGGGTTGATTTGTTTTCCAACTTGGTTTTTGATGGCTTCTTTGATCCGAAGAGATTTGTTCTTTGGTTTGACTTTGCCAGCATTTGGAGAGCTTTAGTCTCCGTGCGGACGATTCGATCGTCATCTTTGGATTTGATGTCCTCTTTGGACAATCCGAGGCTTTAATCTTTGGTTTGGATTTACCGCTTTTTGGAGAGTTTTGGTCTCCGTGTGGACGATTTGATCATCGGCTTTGGATTTGTTGTCTTCTTTGGACGATCTGTGACTTTGATCTTTGATTTGGCTTTGCTACCTTTTGGAGGGCTTTGATCTCCGTGGGGGGCAATTTGATCATCGGCTTTGGATTTGATGTCTTTTTTGGATGATCCGCACCTTTGATCTTTGGTTTGACTTTGCCGTCTTTCAGAGAGCTTTGGTCTCCGTGGTAGGCGATTTGATCGTCAGCTTTGGATTTGATGTCTTATTTGGACGATCCGCGGCTTTGATCTTTGGTTTGCCTTTTCCGCTTTTGGAAAGCTTTGGTCTCCGTGTGGGCGATTTGATCGTTGGCTTTGGATTTGATGTCTTCTTTGGACGATCCTCGACTTTGATCTTTTTGGAGATGGATTTGGTGCTCCATAACAATTTTGGTGGCGTGTCCCTTTGACTTTTGGATCGAAGAGAGCCGAGTTGATGCTTTGGTGAACAAACACCTCGAAACTTTGGGATGAACTTTGGATGTTCTTCCTTCGCTTTGATAGATTCTTCAACGGCTTTTGGAGCTTTAATCATTGAATAGGTGGATTTGGTATTCCATAACATTTTTTACAGCGTGTCCCTTTGACTTTTGGATCGAAGAGGGCCTGGTTGATGCTTTGGTGAAGAATGCGATGAATACCTTGAACTTTGGGATGAACTTTGAATGTTCTTCCCTTTGCTTTGACGAATTTCTCAACGGCTTTGGGAGCTTTGATCCTTCCTCCGGCTTGAGCATATGATGAAGAACGTTAACTCCATCGATTCGTCAACTAATATTGGATCATTTGTCCAAATCAGTGACTTTCGACGAAGAACGTTTCGAAAGACACAAAGAACCTGAAGAACAATACAGAGAGAGTTTAAAGATTACCCATTTGTTTGAATTCTCGATGTAACTTCGGTATGTCAAATGAACTGATTATGACTCTTATTTATAGGGGAGGAGTGGCCTCGACTTCCTTTTTTAATGGTGCCACGTGGCGTGTTCTAATTGGCCAATAGGAATATTTTACTCCCTCCGTCCACAAAATAAGTATACATTTACTTTTGGCGCGGAGATTAAGGAATAATAGTATTTTAATTATAGTGGGTAGGTAAAAGTAGTAAAATGACATTTTTGCCCTTACTTTTTCGGTATAAAAGTAATGATGTGATGTAAAGTAGAGGTATTTGTGGAAAAAATTGGGTATTTAATGAAATGGTTACATTGTAATTGGACGTCCCAAAATAGAAACATGTATACTTTCTAGCTGGACGGAGGGAGTATAATATTTCCTTTTCCATCAGATGTTTTCCATTCTTAACGGATTTAATTGTGCAACTTATTTTCTCGCCAAAATCTTTATATCATTGTCCTTTTTCAGAAGATTTTAATTTATATACTTTCTTTATTGACAAGATTAATTTATTTTGCTTCAAATTTATTATGGCTCTATTTATGCCCATAATATTTGTACGATATCTTGCATTTTAAGCAGATTTTTGCATTAATAGTTGATATTTATTATACAAAAATTAACATATGTGCATAATTAAATAATATATACTTATTTAATTAGAATTTTATTTTCTTTCAAAATATATAATATTTAATTGAATTTAGATATATATTTTTAGTATCTAACTATTATTTAATAAAATACAATAAATACAAATATTAATATAATCATTCTGTTTACTCAGCATTTCTCAATGAAATAATTCCTCATAAATATTATTAAAAAAATACAAATATATACACACATTAATATAATATATATCAACACTCATAAAAACTAAATCATTCAATACAAAATATTATTTGTTATATTACCAGCACAGTTATCAATATCACACAAAAAAAACCAATTCATCTGAAAACGCTGAGTGAAGACTGAATATATATATTTTTTTATTTATTAATAAAAGTCAATTTTTCAATACAAAATATTACTTTATCCATCACATTTATCGTGTGCACCTTTCAATTTTCGTCTTATTAACTTATTTTGTCATTTTCTCATTTTAGAAAGAATTATACACTTTATTTCATTTTAAATTTTTTACTTTATAATTATTTTAATTTTAATTAGAATAATTAATTATTTTTATTTTTATAATAGGATAATTAATTTCACTAATATTCTTAATTATTTACTAATTATATCTTTATTAAATCCCCATATATACAGTCAAGTGGACACCTGGAGCGAGGGAGTATTATTTTTATATCTAACATAAAAAAAAAAAAATTCATTTAGGGTGTGTTTGTTTGGGGGTTTGGATTTTGAACTGAGATTTTAATAGTAAAAATTTTGAATTGGAATAGTTGTATGATAGTGATATAAATATGAATTGATGTGATGTTTTAAATGTAAAATTAATTTTTAGTATAATATAAAAAATAAAAAAATAAGTATTTAATTTAATGTGTTTTAGAAGAAAATTTTATGTGAATAGTAAAAATCTACCAAAATTCCTCAAACAATGTGTTCTTTCTAATTTTTTGTTCACATGTTTTCTTAAAAAAATAATAAACTACACACATTTATTATTTTTATATTTTCTAATAATTTCTTATAACTCACATAAAAATTTTATTTCCGACAATTTTATAAACCAAACACACCACGGAACAAACCCTTAATATCTGTATTTATTATATTTTTAATAATATTTATGTTAAATTATACCACCTAAAAAATACACTGTGAACAAACCATAAATATTTTATTAAAAATAAAACATTATAAAATACTCAAACTAAAAAATAAAATAAAAGTGATATAATTTTAACTATTACAAAAAATAATTTCGAAATATTACTAACTACATTTAATTTATATTCAATGAAATAAATTATTTTTTTTTAAAAAATCTTATAGGTAAAATTTATAATGTGGAACCTACATTATTATGCAGTCAATTTTACACACGCGGCCTTATACCATGACATATTATTGAATTGATATAACATGTTTGTATTATAGTTAGCTGTGGATAAAAAATAATACTGTAATTTATTTTTTTCGTATAATTTTAATTTTGATAATATTTTTGAATGATATCAACAATAAAAAAAAATAAAAATATTGATTGGAACTAATATTGATGTTTATTCTTTTATGAACATTTTTATCCAAAATTTTTATCAAAACATCACACATCTACGGTGGCAGCCTGCACTGCACCAGTTCTTCTTGTTGAAATTATAAAGAAATATGACATCAGAAATGTTATTGATCCGAAATTTTAAAAAAATAAAAACGAACATCAAATTAAAATCGAATCCGAGCTTCGCAAATGACGCAATTTTCTTGAAGCGAATTCAGTCAATCGAATCCGAGCGTCGTGAATGACGCGATTTCCTTGAAGCGAATTCAGCCGCCACCTATTACCTCCCATGATAAAACAAATTGAAATGAATGACTGATTCTGCGAATCGAAACAAAAAATAGAAATTTCAGATAAATTTCGTCACAATAGAACGAATTGAACGGAATTACAAATTTTGCGAACCGAAACATAAAATAGAAATTTCAGAAAAATTTAGCAAAAATTTTGAAAGAAATTTTTTAAGTAAGAAATTTATTTATTTGTATATCACGTTTTTCACCCACTACCACGATATTAGGCTCAACCTACGTACCCCATGAGCCCTACAACCCAAGGTCCATCTTTTATATATATATATATATCCCAACCAAAGCTCAAGTATTAGCCCAATTCAATCTATTCCCTAATTTTTTTTTTTATTAATTATGGAGTCTAATACAATAAACTCTGTTTCATCTTTCCATGGCGGACAATATCCTTTCATTTCTCTTCCTCTTTCGCCAATACATCCAACGTTTCTCCCTTTCTTCTTTTTCTTGCCCCTATTGCTTCTTTCCTTCCCTTTTTTTCCCTTCTTCACGACTTCACGACTTAACGTCTTCACCCACCCTTCTGTTTCTTTCTGCCGCTCTGCCGGTGACTACCAAGTTAATACATATTTAAAGAAAAAAAGATAAATAAAAATAAATCGCCGGTTTGAACCGGCGGTTTACGGTTCGGAGAAAAATCGAACCGAAACCAAACCGTAATAAAACGTTCGATTTCAGTTCGATGGTGGTTCCGGTTCAGGCCGGAATCGCCGGTTTGTAACCGTCAAACCGGCGGTTCCAACTGCGGGTTCGAAACCGATTGGGCAGGTCCATTGACAATACCGATCGACCGATTCAACTGTAACGGCACGGTTGCAAGTTTTTCTCTTTGTTCGGAAGTAGTCCTGGCTCAACGGATTTGATTTGCTCTGAACCACCAAATGTATGTATGTATTGTGATTATTTGGCATTCATTCATTCATTAGAGTATGATTTCTGATGCGACGCGATCAGGTAGATTGATGAGATTCGCAATTGGAAATGAACGCGGAAAAAGCGTCGTCGTGTAATTTCGTCGTGAATTTCCTGCTGGAAGAGAATTACTTGCTGTCTGCTTTCGAGCTTTTCCACGAGCTCCTCGAAGATGGACGGGATAATCAGGCTATTCGACTTAAAGAGTTTTTCTCTGATCCAACTCACTTTCCTCATGACCAGATCTCCCGCTTCAGCTCCTCCCTCCGAGGTACGTATGTAATGTTCTATACAAAACAGCATTTACCAGGGTTGTAACAAATTTTATTCGTGTCCGTACATGAGGTTCGTTTTTGGTTTCATGCTTTTTTGTTAAAGGTCATTAGTATGGTAGTAGGCTTATTTATATCTCCTGACTCCTAGAGATTGATTGTTACAAGGGGACAAATGAGAAATGGAAAAAAGTTACACATATATGTTTGGAGCACATTTCCAGAATTTATATTCGTTTCCATGAAGGCATCACATTTGGCACTAAAACATATTAATTAATTAAACAACGATGCCCAAAAAGAGAGTCTGTAACTATTACTGAAGCTGCTGCTTCAAACTTGCTGAATAATTGTGGTACAATGCTTTCATCTAGGTCCACTTGACTGATGAAATTTTTCCTAGATTAGATATTTAAAACTGCTTCTTGAGGTCTTAAATAAGTTATATGTGAAAATAAAGCCACATCATTTATGCTTTAATTAGTCAAAATCATCGAAAACTTTTATATGATCCAGAGTCTTGAAATCTTTTCGAAATGAAATTATTTCAGGTAAGATCTCGCTCATGTAATGTTTTGAGAGTGATTTGAACAGTCTGACACTGATTTACTATTTTTACAAAAAAAAAAAATAGAAATATCAAGAAAGCATATAATTTGACTAACGTTCCTCTGCATCACTTTAACCTTCACTTTCCATTGAGAAACTTATTCCAATGATTTGAAGTCAATCGTTTGTTTGGGTGCAGCCAAAAAAAAGTCAATTGTTTGTTGAATAGTGTAAAAACAATGCATAAATAAACTGAATTAAGTGGATATTTAATTTTGTGTCCTTTTTTGTTAGTTTGTTAGTTTATTTTTAATTTTTACTTGTAATATCCTACACCATTTCTTATAGAGCTGTGTGTGAATGTGTGCGTGAAATTTTGCAGACCCCCAGAGTTTGCTTGATGAAAAAGTTTTGGTTGAAGACAAATTGGCTGTCGCAGAATATGAGCTTCGCTTAGCCCAAGAAGACATTCTTAAGCTCGAGGCTGAGGTGCAAAAGAAAACTGACTCCCTCTGCATTAATGAATCATGTGGTAATACAAAAACCTTTTGTGTGTGTGTGTTTGTGTTTATATTTTGTGCCTTTGATATTGGTGCATATAAAGTCTTGTTAGTCTTATGCTACACATTACAATGATTTTGCCAAAACAGATTGTGGTGTCACGAGAAGTCTTGAATGCTAATTCATTATAAGTTTCAGAAATATTATTGAGTTGAATGTGCCTGAAGTTATGCTAAAATTACAACTCATTAATCATTGTTTGTATAACAATAACAAAGTGCTATTTATGCGGGAAAATAAGCAGTGTTTTCTATTCTTGCAATTTACATGTTCAATACGATTTAGTGCCGAATGCGGAAGCCTCCATGGAAAATGGTCCATCAGTTAATCAACCAGTGAAGAGGAATATATCCTTCTCTGATTTGGGGCATCTGAAGGATAGCGAACGATTGGATATTAACTGTGCAGTGAAGGAGTATTTGGTATCAGCTGGTTACCGCTTGACTGCAATGACATTTTATGAGGAGGTATCTTAATCCTAGACTCTAATATATAGCTGAAGTGAATTTGGTTGTATGAATCTCCTGTGCTTTTGTAATAGTATCATCTGGTTATAAACTTCAGATAAGAATACATGAAGCCATAGAGGAAATAGCTTGAAAATGTTCTATATGGTTGATAAGAACTTTTGGCATGGTCAAATGGCTTAATATTGATGATTGGAATTAAAATGATTGGAAGTGGTACACACCCCGAACCTCCCCGACACCCAAAATTTTTAATTTTCAGTACCATCATAAAGTAGCTGCATCAATTTTAATTAGACAAAATTACTCATAACTTACATGTAATTTGAAAATTGTGCACCATTCTCCCTAAAATGTATGAAACTCCCTCGTGTTTTAGAAAATATTGCACAAATCCTCTTTTTAAGGGTTTCTGTGCAATATTATTGAAAATATAAAAGAGTCTCACGCAATTTTTAGGAGATTCTATGTATTTTCTAGAAAGCCAAGGAACCTTATGCAATTTTTAAATCACTGGTAAAAATAGAGCAACGTTTCCAAATTGCAAGTAAATTATAAACAATTTTGCCTTTTAGTTAAATATTATGTTGTAAAGGTTGTCTATTTACTTTCTGATCTGGGGTGAACTATTGGTATACAAAATCTTTTAAGTGCTTATCTTTTAATGTGCACTGTATTTAGTGTCTTCTATGGATTTACGCAGGTAACTGACCAGGATTTGGATGCAAGGCGAAATTCACCTGCATGCATGCCAGATGCTCTGCGACAATATTATTACCATTATATTTCTTCTACTGCAGAAGCTGCAGAGGTACCTCTTGAAAGTGCATCAGTTATTTTATAAGATTCTTAAAATATTATCAGGCCCAAACAACTCAAATTAATGTTGTTGGTATTCAGGTCTCTAGATGGAATGACATTGATATTTTAGTTTTTTTATTAGTTATTCTACTATCTTGAGTATTCGCTGCAATTGCTGAGAAGAAAGAAAATTAAAGTCTAGACTCTACTTCACTTATTAAATTGCAGATCTTCCCCTTATTTTAGTATTAAAGTTGGCAACCTAAATTAATTCCTGCATGTTGCAGTTTCAATTTTGGTATGTCAAAAAACTAGAAATTACATAAAAGTAACTAAAACTGTAAACTATCAGTACTGGCTGTTCTACCACAGTTTGCTGAACCATCGATTCAATTTTCTAAGTAATCTTGTCATTGACCCCCAGTCATACTGAACTAAAACTTTCAAATGAATAAACAAGTAATGGAAGTTCATATGAATTAGCCTTTGATTTTTAGCAACTTGATACAATTCAATACTACTTCATATGCATACAATCAGGGGCACAATATATGTCTTTAGAGTTTTGGAGGAAGTGTTGATCCAATTTATACATATTAGTTTAAGTGTTTAGTTGGCAGATGTTCATCTATCTGATTATTTTATTTAATTTTTTGTAATCATGATACAGTTGTTTGAATTGGCATCTATCTGATTATTTTATTTAATTTTTTGTAATCATGATACAGTTGTTTGAATTGGTTTTCTGCGTATTAAATCTTTGGTGCTTTTTCCATATGCTGCAGGAGAAAATAGCAACACTTCGGGAAAATGGGAAGCTAAAAAAGGAGAAACAGTGTTTGTTGAAGAGCAAGGAAGCATCCTATACCCAAATAACGACACTGACAAAATCACTGGAGGCTCTGAAGAAAGAAGTGAAGAACAAAGACAATAAAGTATTTTCTCTTGATTGAATCATTACAATATCAACTGGATGTTCTAAGCATTTATGGTAAGAACTGGCAATCAGGTCCAAAGCTTGAAGAAGACTTTGAAGAGCCAAAGACAAGAACTGAACGATTGCAGAGCAGAGATAACTTCACTTAAAATGTATATTGAAGGATCTCGATCTGGAAAGCCTTTGTTACCTGACTCAGCACAAGTACAATCAGCGTCTCTAGAAAGTCAGAATGAAGAAATGAAGAATGCTCAGAATGAAACAGAGATACTGAAAACAAAAGATTCCATGAATGTGGAGCTTAATGGAGAGGAAAAGAATGAAGGAGAAGTACGTGATGGGGAAAATCCAAATGTAAGCGACTCTGGTTCAATGCCCGATTCACTAAGAGTGGGTACCAAAGTGAGTGAGAAGCAGGTTCATGAGGAAACAAGTAGTCCACCTGATCAGAGGAGTCCGTCTGAGAAAGTGGAGGAGCCTCTAACACCTCTAACACCTGGAGATGAAATTGGAAGCAGTGAAAATTATCTGAAGAGAAATGGGACACCTTCCCTGGAAAATTATAGCCAAAGTATTAAGTCAGAAAGTGTTGTTACAGAGCTCAGTACTGAAAATATGGCAAGTCCTTGTTCCTCGTCTCTGAAAGATAATTTTAATTTTAATGTTTCTAAGACTAACTTTTAGTTCTCATTGCTTCCTCAGGGTTTGGGAACCATTCAAATACTTGCAAATGCATTGCCTAAAATTGTACCCTATGTTCTTATCAACCATCGCGAGGTTTGCTAATCAGTTTAATTTATCTTGCACATTGCCAGATTTTATACCTTCATAGTCATTATTTGTCAAGAATCTTATTGGACTTTATCAATCTAGGAGCTTCTTCCTCTGATTATGTGCGCTATTGAGCGACATCCCGACAGTGCCACTCGTGATTCCTTGACACACACGCTGTTTAATTTAATAAAACGTCCTGATGAGCAGCAGAGACGTATTATAATGAATGTAAGATTCTGTAGGCCATGCAATTGCTTTTTACACAATATTGAATGCCAGGTCATCTCGACTTTTTTCAATTTTCAGGCTTGCGTTACTCTTGCTAAGAATATAGGAGAGCTAAGAACAGAAACAGAATTGTTGCCTCAGTGTTGGGAACAAGTAAGAACTGTTTCTATGTTTAGATCATTGGTTCATTGCTCCATTTTTTGTTGATAATTTAAAACCGCGACAACTTTGTTAATGGTGACTGTATTCAAATGCAGGTCAATCATATTTATGAAGAGCGTAGGGTGCTTGTCGCTCAATCATGTGGTGAGATTGCAGAATTTGTGCGGCCCGAGATTCGTGATTCCCTCATCCTTTCCATCATGCAGCAGCTCATTGAGGATTCTGCTACAGTTGTTAGGGAAGCTTCAGCTCATAATTTGGCATTGTTGCTGCCTCTCTTCCCAAATACCGAAAAATATTTCAAGGTCAGCCTCACTAAATATGCTTCGAGGCTATCATGGAGAAGCTTTCTGACTTGACCGAATTACCTACAACGTAAGCTCCGTGGTTTAGGCAGTGGAGCATTTTCCCTTGTCATAATATAATGATTTGCGAGAGAAACATAAAAAGGAAAGCAGTCAGAACTTTGTCCAATTCTTTTATGTGCTTGTTGATAGGTTGAGGAGATGATGTTCCAGTTGGTTTGTGATCCTGCTCGTACAGTTTCTGAAACTACAATGAAGGACTTGGTTCCAGCTCTAATAAACTGGGGAAACGAGTTGGATCATATATTGCAAGTTATCATGTCCCGTATTCTGGGTTCTAGTCGGGTATATTTGGTGCACCTATGTATATCCTTGTAAATTTTTGAGAAACTTTGTGCTGTCATTTCTATCTAATGAATTATGTTTTCCAGTGTTGCCCGCCTCTTTCAGGGGTTGAAGGTTCCATTGAGTTCCATTTTCGTGCTTTAGGTGAAAGACAGCGCTGGACGGTTGAAGTTCTTTTGCGGCTGCTTTCTGCATTGCTGGGACATGTTTACAATAATGTTGTCGACACTTGTCCTTTTGCATCAGTTTTAGATTCTGCTGGAAAAGCATTGAGTCCACCTCTACTTGAACTCTATTCAGGGTGAGCTTCGAAGTCCTTTACATTCAATTTCTCCCGAGTGTTTCATCAAATGAAGCATTTTATCTGTGAATTAGGAGTATCCACTATGAACTCAGTGCCTATTGATTTTGATCAGGGGGGATAACGAATGGCTTGCATTCGAGTGGTTGCACAATGAGTGCTTTCCTGGCTTGATTCAATTGGCTTCTCTCTTGTCTCCAAAGGAAGACAATTTAAGACATTTCATAGCAAGAGTACAAGCACAAATTTTCAATTTATTTTGCAATCTGTTGTATATTGTATTTTGTTTCAATATATTTAAATTTTTGGACAATCAAATGCAGTTTTTGTTGGCGGTAACTACACAGTTTGGGGAATCTTATTTAACACACATCATGCTGCCAGTGTTTTTAGTAGCTGTGGGCAATGATGCTGACTTGAAATTCTTTCCTATCAACTCTCACCCGAAAATTAGAGGTAATGATTTCAATTTTTCCAGTTTTCATTATGTAGACACTGTTATTTGTGTTAATCTCATATTCCATTGTGACAGATTTGAAGCCACACACTACAGTAGGTCAAAGAGTTGCTACTGTATGCATCCTACCTCTTCTCCTTGCAGGTGTTCTCGGATACCCGAGCCAGGCTGAACACTTGACAGAGTACTTGAAGAATCTGCTGCTTCAAAGTTGCGCGCAGAACGATCAGCTGGCAAAGCAGGATATTATGAACTCTCTGCATTTCTTGTGGTTTGTGCCTTGAGAAAAGCTTTTGATTCATTCAAGGCAATGTGTCCATGTTTAATGCAGTTGCTGGATCTAATGTTGTTTCTGTGCTGCAGTACTTTTGAAGAACACCACAACACCATGATTAATATCCTTTGGGAAATGGTTGCGGGCACTGAAGCAAACTTCAAAATCTATGCTGCCGATCTTTCAAAAATCTTGGTAAGGCTTGTTTTGAAGAGAACCTCTTATCTATCCCTTTTAATTATTATTATTATTATTATTATTATTATTACCTTATGCTAGCTAGCATGCATTGCTTTTGGATGATATTTTTCTTCAAGGTATCATATATTGAAGCAAAAATGGCCTCTATTCATGTTATACCGGCTCTTGTAACTCTTGGCTCGGATCAAAACTTGGACGTGAAATATGCAAGCATCATTGCTTTCGGAGCTGTTGCACAACATTATAAGAATGACATGGTATGGTGTGGTTGGAATCATCGATGTGATATCAGTAGAGCCCTCTGTTTTGGTATTGGTTTGGTTCAATAAAATTGTCTTTAATTTGCAGATTGTCGATAAGATATGCATTCAGATGGATGCTTTTCTTGAAGACGGCTCACATGAAGCAACCATCGCTGTAGTCCGCGCCCTGTCTGCATCCGTACCTTACACAACTGATAAACTCCGGAATTATATCCTTTCCTTACTAATTATAAATTGTCCACATTTCCTCAGGATGGACAGGACAGGACAGGACAAATTGGAAAACCTTTGAATCTTAATCTTAATCTGATAATAATATTAGGTGTTGTCTTTAACTTTTCGTACATCTCTTGTCCAAGATTTTCCATCTCACAACATCTCGGCCATACTCTTCAATGGATCTACAACGCCAACGTGAGATGGTGAATGCCTTCTGCCAAGCAATCCGTGCTCTCGACGCCACAGGTTAATGTGCTTTTCTGTAGATAGATATATAGATGGTTGCATTGTTCAGCTTCTTCCTCCACATAAAATATTTGTTTGTGTTGTCCATAATTGTATGAATGCAGATCTTCCTTCTTCTGCTAGTCTGAAGGACTTGCTGATCCCCACTATTCAGAACCTACTTAAAGATGGCGATGCACTTGATCCCGCACACAAAGAAGCACTGGAGGTGATGCTGAGGGAACGATCCTTGGGCACACTAGACCCTGCTGCGACCACTAAGGTTCCTATGGGGTTGGCTTCTCACTTGAGCAGTTTCTTCGGTGAAAGTGGATTGCTCGCAAAGACAGACAGTGGTGGTGGTAGCGGTGATCCCGGAGCTCCACCATCGGACATTAACTCTAACTCGCTTTCACCAACACCAGTGGAAGACACCCGATTCAGGCGGATAATGCGTGGTAGCTTCAGCGACATGCTTCGGTCTAAACAGTGAAGTGATCTGTCTGCATAACACTCCAACTCCAACTCCAACTCTTGCTCTTGCTTCTTGGTATAGTACATACTTAAAACATTAATTATATATATATATATAGTAATCAGTTTTGGAAGCTAGTATTTTTTTAACTCAGAACGTGGTTATATATGCATGCGAGTGATGTTATGGCAGGATTAGGGTATGATCGTAATCAGTTGGTCCGCATGGCATGGCATGGCATGGGGACTTATTCTTTAGGTTGCTGAACCGGCTTCAACGTTTCTGCTTATGCTCCAAGAACATGAGAGAAAAATTCCAGTTTTATAGAAACAACCACAAGAGGTAAGGTACGACTCTTCTTTTTTTATTAAGTTTTGACTCAGTTTCATATTGTTTCCCTCTTTTCTAGTTTCAAATTCTTTTGCAATAAACCTTATGAAATACGGAGTAGTTTATTTATTTAACTTTTTTTTTTTTTTTTTTTCTCTCCCTTCAATTGTTAAATAAGTTTTTGTTTGAATTTTGGGTTATGGCATATTTGATAACTATTTGTTATCATCGCTCAATTTAAATGTTTACGCAGTGTTTGTTTAAAATTGATTTAAAATAAAATACACTACCAAAAAAACTGTTTTCTATTACGGCCGGAAAATCGTAACAAAAAGCCATATTTCGTGCAATTTGCGTATTTGCTACGCCTTTGTTACGACTTTTTTCCGTAATGTGTACTCGCGTAACGAATGTTTTTTGCCACGCCACTTTTCGTAACTATTACGATCGGTCAACGCTCCCTGAAGTATGGTATTTGTTACGATGTTTGTTACGAATTTTCTCTCGTAACGAAAGGTAGATCCTTCCGCGCGTGTGGCAGGACTTTTAGTTACGGTATTTGTTACGGAAGTTCCTCGCGTTACAAGTGTTTTCCATTGACCGGTTGTCAGAACTTGGCTTTTGTTACGACTATTTGTAACGGCATTGAACGCCGTAAAAAAAATATTACCTACTTATAGTCACGAAACCGTCTGTAACAACAAATATCCAAAGACCACTTTTTGTAACGATTTTCTGGCCTTTTGTTACGGAAAAATAGCGTATTGTGAAAAACAGGGGGTACGCTGCAATTGAAATTGTTCGTAACAAATGGACCTGCTGTGATGCGTATGATACGAAAATAAATTACGAATACAAAGATTGCTATAAACATCATCATCATTACGCCCCGTGCAAACATTAATTCATATTAAAATCTGAATTCCATACCTACCAACAAAGTAAAGCAACCCATAGAACAAGCCTACTAGTATCTACACATCAACAACCTGTTCCGCAAAACGTGCTTAACAGTTCAAACACAAGTAAACAACGCAATAAGCAAATACGGTTATCCATCAATCCCATTAGGCACATTTTTCACCATACGAATTCAAACCACAAAGGTCTACGCATCAATTCCAGACATAGTTCAACAAAAACTCAACACAATCCATCCAAAGACAGGTTCGACATTCAATCCATATGACAAACGGGGCAATTAATATGGGTGTATCGGTACCAACATTTCAAGCCCGGCGCATGAGCTGCAATTGCCAACACAGAGATTACTTTAAGTCATACTTCTTATAAATTTCGGAAGGCAATACAAGAAAGGTATTAAAGTAGATCCTTACGTCCTTGTAGTTCCACTCAATAGGATCTTCACCAACGACATCGCGAAGGGTAGTCGCCCCAGCAATGGTCGGCAAAATAAGGGGTGTGTCCGGGACTGAGGCGGATGTCACGAAGACCTTGACCAGGAAAAGTGTGTCACCTACAGCATCCACAAGTGCAATTTTTGAGTATATTGAGCCATAGATATCAACAGACGTTCAAAATGTATGTATAACATGCCATAACACAGACATTAGAAGTGTAAAGCTTTGCAACTAGAACAATACGAGTATGTATATTCAGACATGTCGTACAATACATGGTATTATATCCATGAATTAGGTACCAAAGCACATTATGTATCCATGAATTACCAGTCTAGGCCCTCAAAGAGGCCATCTCCCTTTATGGCGGAAGTTTTGAAGATAGACCATTACCGATTCTTAATTTTGTGAAACTCTAAGGCCTCAGTTATCGAAGCATCATCCATTGCTCCAGGAAGATCCTGTAAGTCAGATAATGTTAAGCCATAAGAGAGTACACTTATCTAACTTGTGAGTGGATTAACAAGCAACTTCAACCGACACACAGAGTTAACAAGTATGCAAATGCATCAAGAAATTTATGCTTATCGTATGTAAATTAAGTGCAATGTTAATGTTTATATATATATATAGCAGAAAGAATGGTATAAAATTCCACCTGCTTGTTAGCAAACAAGAGGACAACGGCGCCTTTTAGCTCTTCCTCCTGGCAAGGGACCAATGTAATTCCATATAAGAAAGAGGAAAGTACAGTCAATCATTAACAAAGATCATCAACAGTTTAAACAAACAGTTTAACTGACGTAGGGAAAATCAAAACAACTAGAAACAAGAACAATTTTTCATTTCTATTTAAGTTGAAAACAAACTGCCAAGGCCTAAAATATTAAAAACCAAAGCTAAAGGTAAACAAACTGTTAAGTACTGGTTCAAGTTCCAGGGCCACCTAGGTAGGAACTTACTGTAAGAACACTCAGAGAACTTCAAAGGATTATGTGCAGCAAAATTATGCAAACGGTGGCCATTCAATATTTTACAAAAACTACTAAAGTGTTTATTAAAAAAACATCACTCTAATTCTATTATGTTCTTGAAATTTAAAGCTTCACAATTAATGAGAACATTGTTAACCTTTGACAACTAAAAGTACCATAATCGGGACAGCATACCTGTTGAAGCCAAGCACAAGCAAGTTGTTTACCATGAATATGTGATGGTGACATATGAAATAAAAAATATTTTCATTACATTCTTAAGATCTGTCCAGTAACATAGAGTTTAGCTTATTTGATCTTCCATTAACCTTGGTGTAAAACGGAACAAGAATATCCCCTTTGAAATATATAGGTGATGAACTTTCTTCCATAAGTACATAAATGGAAATATCACCCCCAATATTGCATGGAATTCTTCCTTGGCAACCACTAGTCTATCAGTATGACTTGAATCACTAACATATATTATCGCTTGAGTATTGGGAAAATAGGACCTTCAGTATGGCCTAAGCAACAAAGCAAAACATCTTAGCATCGATTCAAGGGATTAGGAAGAAATAAAAAGGAAAAGATACCGGAAAATAAGAATATCATTTAGTATATGTGTATCATGTGGTTGGTTCAAAGATGAGTAAGGTCTATTGTAAGATGCACTCACTCACCACAAGTCATGTTTTATATAGAAATAAGGATTCTCGCTATAGCATCATCTAGTAATAAAAATATGTAGCACTTTGGCTATCAACAAAAAAATGTACCAGCAATCTATCCAGATTTGAAGGATTTGGCAAAGTGTTGTCTTAATTCAAAATTTTGACTTATCCACTTATGTATATATATAAACACATTCGAGATAAACAATCATTGAAATTCAATAGTTAACCAAAGCTCCTAGTGAACAACAACCAATGTGACTGCAATAATATAGCAAAAAAAAAAAAAAAACTACTGCTAGACATTTTTACCACTTCCATTGAAAAATTAAAGTGAACTTGATGTTGTCAAGCACCACATAAAGTATTAAAAAATATACAAAAGAAAAAAGTTAAAATTTTTCTAAAAAAATAATAACAATAAAAGCAATTCCTACCTGAAAACAGAATATTATTTTGACAATTTCACCTGGGTAAACTATTTATCCATGACAGTAATTAACTAAATCTATCAATTCTTAGATACAGAATAAAAAATAAAACATTCTATTGAAAAGTAAAAAAGTATGAAAAAAAATCATTAGAGAGAGATTTTAACATGGATTTAGAACGAAGAAATGTCATTACTGCACAAATCCAATAGGCAATATTAGACAGGGTACAGACACATGTCAGTATTGTGTGATTGAAAAGAGAACCATTAAATTGGACAAATTAACTAAATAGACGATAGAAATAAAAATCACAAGTAATTACTTGGAACTTTTTTGAGTAATTAGTTACCTGATACTGGTCTGCCCACCTACCACAACAAGGAAAACCACCAATGTTACGAATAAAAAACTTCAAAATGACTTCTTAGAAATGGTTGGAAGAGAAACTACTAAGTAATCACAAAACCACTTAGCATAAATGAAATTGTGATAACAAAGAGCATTCCCATGGTTATTTTCTTGAATGTTATTTTATGACTTCCACAGGTTAAAGTTATAACTGTGTTTTGTAGTTGCATTAAGCTTAATGGCCTAGATGCCTAATTATACTCTAGAATCACGACCCACCCTCATAAGCAAATCGTATGTCTATAAAGTAAATCATAACTTATAAAATCCTTCGGCTCCTTGATGGAAAGAATGAAAAAGAAAAAATAAGGAAGCAAGTTTAAAACATTTACATTCCAATCATTTAGCTCATGAGACACGCCGAAACTGCAAGTATAACAAAACAATATTCCTCCCTCATTGGTGAAGTGATTATATATATTTAAAAAAAAAATATCTTAGGCTAACTAGAAGGATAATGTTGACTTGTAGTCTACATTCTCTAAGATAAACCTACAATTATCTTTTATAATGTATGGCAACATTTGAAACCATAGCCAGTGGCAACATTTAATAGCTGATAGTTGTTACAAATTCATTCCACTGTGTATTAATGTGAATAGTTCATCCATGGACATCATTTGTTTTCATGCTCTGGAGCTCTAATGAGAGTGAAAACCTAAAGCCAAGAAGTCCTCAACTTCTTCTTTTCATAATTTCAACATAAATCACCAAGGGCGACACATGACACAGTCAATAACAACCAAACTCAGAAATTAAAAATTAAAATGATGAACCCCATATGAAAATAAACAAATTCACGAGTCCAAGTCAAACAGCAAGGATCCTGAAAGCCAAAAAACTTTGAAAACAATCCCAATTCTATTAAGGATGATAAACTCACCTAAATCCCAAACTTGGAACTTTATGTTGTTATATTGCACTGTTTCCACATTGAACCCAATAACTGTAAAATGAAAAAGACATCTACTCATTAATCAAGTAAAGCAAAGTTTCCCTAATCATATTTTCAGACTACACATTTCGCATATCACCATTTGTCATATTAAATTCTGCCTATGAAATAGATGCAGCAAATTAATGAACTCAAGAAAGCAACCAAAACAAGCTCAAGAGAAGAGAATAACATAAAACAATTAGAAACAACGCAAAATATCCAAAAATTAGCGCGTTAAATGTCAGTCAACCCACGTTCATAGAATAACAGTATCGAATTGCTTAAAGTGAGGATAACAAGGTAAGTACTTGGAATAGT